ATCGTAGACATAGAGAATGGACTGAGCGTTAGCCTCACAAAAGTGACCATTCTATAGAAAGAGACAAATCGACTGTGCTGCCAATACCTGTCTTTTCCCTGCAAGTTTGATTGTACCATGTCCTGCAATCCAGTGACGTGGACCAATCAGACTTCTAGAAAGAGACTACTACTGGCCGCACATTCGCTTTGTCTCTCTCGCACTTTTCGGCTGGCATTCACTGCACAACTGAATACGGAATGCACAGTCCATTATCTCTATGTCTATGGTTATTATCATCAAAGATATGGTGACATTAGATATGGCATTAGGTAACATTAGATACCTAAATCAACTTTTTTATTCCAGGTTAATCAAATTTGAAACAAACCAAGGGCAATTTTAATTTAAAAATAATTAAAAATTAAAACTTTTTGTACCACCGACTTCAACATATATTATTAAGGATAACTCAAAAACGATTGGTCAGACCTTGATCAAATTTATATGAGACCACATGAGAAGCACCAGCTTTCAAATAAGAAAATAATCATTGAAATCGGTTCACGTAGAACAAAGTTATGAGGTAACATACATAAAAAAAACATACAGTCAAATTGAGTACCTCCTCCTTTTTGAAGTCTGTAGAAAAATAACCACTTTTTTCCTCAATCGCATCTGTCACCAAATATCAATGCTTGCACTGTATGGAGAGCCAATATAAAATCAGGCAAACGAAGCATTCTACCTTATTCTTCAGAGGTGAGAACGGACCTGTAGGCCACTTTGTTTGCAGTTAGCTGCAGGTGTTTATAGACTGCAGTAGCCACTTACCATCAGGTGGGTTGTAAGTTCCTTTATCTCTTTAGTTTAAAAAAAATATCGAGTAAAAAGCAAATTTGATAGATACTGACTGTCATTGCTAATCTGTGATAGAATTAATAGCGACCACAGATAAAATTGATTGGGAGATCGAAAGGCGTTGTTCCGTCGTCAATCGCGCGTTTGGAATTTCTCATCGTTGTAGAAAATTTCGAAACGTTCCGCTCTCTTTACTCATGAAGTTCGTTAATTAATTGTTGACAGCCAAGATAACTGTTTATTGTAATAATTCGTTTTTGATTTAATTGTTCTAGATAAACAATTCTAAAAAAACCAGCCAAGTGCGAGTTCGACTCGCGCGTGAAGGGTTCCTTACCATCGTAATACACGTTTCTAGTAAAGGAGCTTTTTTAATTTTAATTAATTTTTATTGTTTGTTGTTATGACGGCAACATAAATACACATTCTGTGAAAATTTCAACTGTCTACCTATTACGTATCATGAGATACAGCTCGCTGACAGACAGACGGATGGACGGACGTACGGACAGCAAGGGCTTAGTAGTAGCGTCCCGTTGGTTACCCTTTGGGTAAGGAACCCTAAAAACTAAGCATTGAATATACAAGTATTTCATAAGTGAGGACTAATGTGATCGAAAAGACAATATTACGTAGTTGTTTTTTTTTTTTTTGCTTTCGTATTTATTTCGTCATTCGTACTTTACGTTCGTACCTTGGTTCGTAAGGTATAGCTCAATGTTTTATTGGTCTTCACTAGAAGGTAGATATCGATTTTACCTAACAGTCTGTCTGGGCAGAAATCTGACCCTCTGTTGGTAACTACAACATCAATTCAAATCATTTGTAAAATATATAACTGTGGAAAAACTAAATGTGACTCTATTCTTTTGTCTATGCTTAAATATTTTTTTTAAATACTAGCAATGCTATTAACATCATTAATATTCCCTTTAACCACTCTTGGTAAGCTGAAAATGATTCACGATAGTGGTCGAATGATTCGAACCCACGTTATTTTGAGTTCGCGGTCCGCGCCCTGGCATAAGGCTACTGTCGCTTCAACGACGTCTATCGATCTATGGTTGTCTAATATTTAATACCTAACGAGAGTTTTTTGATTTATTGAGTGTGCGTACAGAGTTGTTAGTGACAAGTGCGACTAAATCCATGGTACACAGCAATAAGCCTTTTAATGACCTTGACCAGCCGTCTATGGGGGACGCCTATTTTCAGCAGTGGACTTTTATAGGCTGTAATGGATGGACGGATGGGCCAGCCAGCGTATAGTCTACTTTTCCGAGAGACTACAAAGCTGCAGCAGTGTACTGCATTTATTACTTCAATTATTTTACGTTATACCTAGTCGAAAACATATACTTAATCAATTTTTAAATATTAATATTACAATATGAAAATAATATTTTAAGTTTCTTTTTTTATAGGATAAGGGTGACAAACGAGCACACAGTCCACCTGATGGTAAGTGGTTGCTGTGGCCCATAGAGATCTACATCTATCTTCGATTACGAATCAAAATGCAGATGCGTTGTCACCCGTGAGGACTAAGAAACTAAGATGGAATGCCTCGTTTCCAGTAAAAAAGGATCTCCCGTTCTCTGCACTCACCATACGAAACACAGCAGCGTTAAGCTGCTATTTTACGCTGGTATTCTGTGAGAGCGTGGTCCTTCCCCGGTCGAGCCGACCCATTCGTGCTACAACTATACCAGTAATATAGTTACAGCATGGCTCTACCACTTACAAAAAACGTAAAACACAGACATTGAAAACACGGAAATTGGTTTTATTCATAACAGTCCATCAAAAAATCCACTGCACAATGTATATTCAAGCCACGCTTGGCAGGCGGGTTGGCAATTGTTATTTTTAGTTATTATCGGCCAAGGGCTGCGGGTCCGAATTCCTTACAAGTATTTGTATGGTCAACAAAATAATTGTTCCGGATCTGGATGTTTGCAGTTGTGCAATTTATGTAGGTATATAAACTGCCCCCACGATACAACAGAAAATGCTAGTGTGGGTGTAACGTTTTTTTTTAAGATGCTGCTGCCCATTTTCTGTTTCATTTCCCTCTATCGCCTCTTTTCACACATGGCTTTTTAAGAATTTTTTTAAGGTCATTAAATTTATGTTATAATTTTATCGATTTCACAAAAAAATATCCAATACATTTAAATAAATGCAGCCTATATCACTCCTGGCATTGCACTCTATCTTTTCGTGAAGTTTCACCTCAATTGGTACAGCCTTTCCGAAGATTAGCCCAGACAAAAAGATAGACAAATAGACAGACAGACAAAAAATTTTAGATAGTTATTCATATCTTAATGGCATCAAATGACCCATTGAGCTTAAAAATATAATTATTTCGGTATCACAGACACTTCAATTTTATTTCTGCGTATATTTTTATCGTTCGAAAAATAAATTTATACGGCTTTAATTGCGTTTAATTTTATTGGAACGAAGTTCCTTATCTCACGGTACGAATTTGACGGATGGGGGCTAGGTGAGAAAAAGTGTAAGATTTTTCTGTCGTGAACCCCTTTCTATAGTGCGAGCGAGATGGAATAATATCCATCTCACTCGCACCTTTTCTTATTTTTCCATGAAAGAAATATAATTTTAAATGACGCTTCATTTGTAATAGACGCTAATGATTCATTTATTTGTATTTGATAATCAATAATATAATACGCTTAACAATAATAATATACTACGAAAGGAACTTCGTTCCAACCGAGTGTTCCATGACACTCACGCATTTTTTATTTTTTATTCTTTCGATAGATGCGATAAAATCTGTAAACTTTGGTTTCATACATTATTCATATGCACCTAAACAAGAAATTTGTATCATTATAGAAGTATACACGACCAGTCACGATATCAAGGTAATATACCACGTGAGTTCGGTCCAGCCTTACGTAAGTAACGTCTACGACTCGTCTGGTTGCTATAAAATAACAACTCAATGGTATTATTAACGCGATCCATGGTGTGTTATTACAGCGTAAGAAAAAACTGCTTACTTGTTTTGCGTAACAGTAATCGATGGTTTTAGATGTAGCAATGTATATACATCACAACAGTGGTGTTGCAAGGGACAGTCGGCGATTGGCCATGTCTCCGGGCGCAAATTTTAGGAATGGGCGGGCGACATTTTCGAAATGAAAGTCAATTTCCGTCTTTGCGTTTCCAATAAGGCCAGCAACCGTTTAAAAAATCTAAAATAAGCTAGAAAATTATTGAATATCTACCACTAGTGTTTTGCGTGAACAATAATAGATACTTTTAGATAGATGTAGCAATGTACATCATAACAATGGTGGTGCAAGGGGCGGCTGGGGATTGGCCATGTCTCCGAGCGCAAAGTTTAGGAATGGGCGGGCAACATTTTCGGAATGAAAGTCAATTTATGTCTTATACTTTCCAATAAGGCCAGTAAACATTATTACGAATTGAAAGTTTGAAAACTTGTGATAATGTGCCTCGTCAAATGTGCAGAGTAGTATAAAAAATACATTACATCTTTCTAAACATATTTAAAAAAATATACAAAGTTTTTACCAATTTCACATACTTCGAAAATGGGGGAGGGGATATTTTTTTGGCTCTAGCGGCCCTTTGGCGACCGCGTCCTATGCTACACCGTTGCAACACAAGGTTTTATAGTTTACTCGTCTACTTTTCAACCAATTTCCTATTTGATCGGTGCAGCAAATGCTTCTCTTCCAATCATCCTTATTTTGATACGTCACATCGTTATGATATACTCTATACCAATTTTCTCAAGTCCTCTTCTCACTACACATTTAGCCACATTTATGGCTATACTATCACACTACCTCTTTTCCTTTCTCACCGTTCTAACTCATCCTATATCTATTGTGTCATTAGTCATCATCTCATAACTAGTAGAAAATAACTTTGAAAAAACAAAATATACTCCAAATTAATAAGGACAAACGAAAATATTATATTAGCTGTATAATATTTTAAAATATTTTAACCGAACAGTCGAGACAAAACTGCCGCATTCGAGTTGTTGTTATTACATATTAAAAATACATAAAAAATAACACATACATTATTGACGTTCATACTGGCAATATGAAAAAGGTGTTTAAAAAAAAAGAAAGTTAAAAGGACAATCGTTATGACTTACTGTAAACGCTGTTGCCGTCTGTGGTGCCGTTGACGGTGCCATCGGGCAGCAGCTGGAGATAGCGGTTCTTGAGGAACATCTGTATTGTGCGCGATGTGCCGGTTATGTGGCTGAGGTTCGCCGAACGCTGGGCGCGCGGCTCGGGGGCGGGTGCGGCGGCGCAAGAAGCGAGCGCCAGCGCCGCGAGCAGCAGCCTCAGCGGGCGCGTTCGCGAACGCATGACGCGCCGCGCCCATGGCAGCCGCGCGGGCGCCGTCACTGCTCAGCACCACCCTGCACACCCTGCATACCCTGCACTAACACCGGCTGGCTCGAGCCCCGCGGATTGGCGCCCAACGTGCCCTACACCGCATACCCTACGCAATCCAACACGACCACCAGGCCAGTTCACTCAAATTTGCCGCCAACGTGCCTCAATCAGTCCGCTGCGTCGCGCACATTATACAATACAGTTTTGTTTCACGTTTCAAACTGATGACGCTCTTGTTGGTAGTTCACGCGATTCCGATTCTTCTCTGTGGTCGCGATACGTCACGTTATTCATGTTAAAGGTATTGCACCATGCGAGCCCGATTTGCGACAGGGCGACGTATCTCGGTTTACTCCAAGCCGCAAACGATCTGAGGTTTTGCGGGCGCAGTTTCACGGTCTGCAACAAGGAATAGGTTTCATGTTAATAATAGATATCGATTCGTAAAATGTTTAGATTTAAAATCTATAGGGCCCTTTAATAGGTGAGTGGGATTCTTGCCTGACAATTAGGACACACCTACAGTATTTCATTAAAATACTTGCAGGTTAAAGCAGTATGGTACTTGAGGATCATATGGTTACTTTCTTATAACTCTTCTTTTACGTGGTAGAGCCATGCTGCAGCTATATTAGTAGTATTAGTTGTAGCACGAATGAGTCGGCTCGGCCGAGGAGGACCACGCTCTCATAGAATACCAGCGTAAAATAGCAGTTTAACGTTGCTGTGTTTCGTACGGTGAGTGTAGAAGAACCGGAGACCCATTTTACTGGGAAAGAGGCATTCCATCTTAGTCCTGACGGGTGACGACGCATCTGCATTTTGATTCTTTATTGAGGATAAATATTGATGTCTATGGGTCACAGCAACCACTTACCCATCAGGTGGACTGTGTGCTCGTTTGTCACCCTATCCTATAAAAAAAAAACTCCAAAACTACAGCCTTGTTTGCAAAGATGACTTTGTGATACGATAACTTTTCATCAGTCAAACAATTAATAAAGTGTTAAAAGGGCGCTGCTTTATCATCACCATTTTGACGGCTGATATTATAGTAAATATTTTAATCGATTTTAGTATTGTGTAGTGTAGTTAGTTTTTTAAGTTGATTTTTCGAAGTGTTCCTAATTATTGCCAAGGCTTGTTTGTAATTTTTTTTAATATATAAGTCATAGTATACGACTTTGTGTTTTTGTCTCTGTCCTCCTCCTAGTTTTGAATTATATAGGGCGGCAAAGTGACCATATTACTCTCACGTACCTTAATTAGAAAAAAACCAACTGCGAAAAAAAGTTTACAGAAAAGAGAAAAATTTTACACCCAATGACACTTCCACAAATAAAACGAATCTAACATTCTATATGTAAAATCCATCTAGCCGTTTAGTCTACAGAGCGTACCAAAGAAATAGACATACCTACATATATACATACATACTTTCTAAAAACATTACCCTACTTCTCAGGCAGTCGGGTAATAATTATTTGCAACAACCTTATACAAAGTAACATAAATTACTTCATTCAAATACCGACTGATAAACGTGGCAATAACTTGTATTGTAAAGATGTTTCTCGAGGCATTTATTAAAGTGTGAAACTGCTAATTTATTGTGAGCTTACCGTAAAATTGACTATAAAAACTAAGATTAAATAGCTGAAAGATTTATACCTATAATGACTAGGTAATTGATTAGAAATAAATAAAATGAGAACAAAATTGCGGCATTACATTAAGTTTTTTTTTTAAATTAACTATTTCAATGTAGTAAAATTCCTAACGTGGCGAGTCGTTTCCACATGCACAAGAAACACCTTATTTCATTACACCTATCTACTAATGAAGTAATCATTAGACTCTCAATCGTAATTTATCGTTTTGACTCTCAAAATACCTATTATTTGAGACGTGAGAAAACATTAGTTAATTAATCAGCCATCCAGCTTCTCGCAGCTTCACATTCTTATTTTGACCCGATTGTACCTGGGACCTCTCGATTTCTCACCGGATTCTTACTCGAAGGTTGTTATGCAGGTACCATTGTCATTTTAGATGTCTTGTTCGATAGAATTTAAGTATATATATATAATGTTAATAACATTAGAAGTTATTATGAACTTCTATCTCCGTCGATATAAAAAAAATTAAAAATATTATTTTCATATTTATGATAAAAAACTTTAATGTTATTGCTAAATCAATTAATTAACTAAATCTGAATGAAAGTAAATTACTACATAACCTGTAAAATTCGTGCGAGTGTTTTTGTATATCTAAAACTATGTATCGTTTAGTAATTGAAAAGAAAAGGCATGCGGAGTGCTTCTTTGCACTTGAATCACAGATCAGAAAAGAAATAACTTAATTTATGTGTATTTGTCACCCTTACTCGTATAAAAAAACCCTCAATAGATTATGTGGTAAAAGATACAGAAATTAGGGTGCAGGTGGTTCAGGACCGTTCTTTGTGGCTTTCTTTGAGGGAGGTCTATGTCCAGCAGTGGACTTGTGATGGGATGTAGTATTGATAATGCCAATGATTCATTCTATTATGCCCTAAATTTTATAATTGTTGCAGTAGCCATATTGAACATAACTTTAAAATTCGAAGTTGTGATCGATATTACTAATAATTTTAATAATTATTTGCATAAAACATGGTAAATTAAAAAAATAATTCTTTAATTTTCCATTTCTTTCGCATTTATATATTTTTTTTATATAGGATAAGGGTGACAAACGAGCACACAGTCCACCTGATAGTAAGTGGTTACTGTGGCCCATAGACATCTACATTTATCTATATAATGCAGATGCGTTGTCACCCGTGAGGACTAAGATGGAATGCCTCGTTTCCAGTAAAAAGGGTCTCCGTTTCTCTACACTCACCATACGAAACACAGCAGCGTTAAGCTGCTATTTTACGCTGGTATTCTGTGAGAGCGTAGTCCTTCCCCGGTCGAGCCGATCCATTCGTGCTACAACTATACTATTAATATAGCTGCAGCATGGCTCTACCACGTATAAAAGATAGGTACATGACCACTTTCTCACCCTTTTAAACTAACAACAGCCCAGTATAGAACTATGAAATGACGTATCAATGTTCTGTAAGGTTTGAAACAACAATTTATAATTGAACCTCCGCTGATCCGCCCATTATGTATATTGCTGACCTGTCGTTTATTTCTTTGTACTATGTTAATTTGCTTTACATTTCTGTTGTTAGAAACTTGTTATTTCTGTCCTTGGTTACTTTATCGTGGACTATTTAACCTTTGGCCACGTGCCATCTCAATTTAAAGGTGAAGGGGCATGGTTTGTCTGGATAGGTACGAAACATTTTGATTTACTTAGATGCTTGACAGAGTCATCGCATGTGAGAAAGCTATTTTAGTAGTGTTATTATTTATTAAAATGTTTTATTATTAATAATTAATTGATAGTTTTTGTGAAGACATAAGTATATCGATATCAGATATGTAGTGAACATATCTGCGAACTGGGTAACATTGATTTAGATTCTTCTTGTTTAACCAATAATACATTATTTTTTATCATTTAGAATAATTTATAATATAGATTCTACTTTAAATAAAATAGAGATTAAGGTCTAAGCTAATATAAATTTCGTTTTTTTTTAACATAGAATAGAATAGAATAATTTTTATTCATTATAGATTATAAAATAATACTCATTGAAAGTATTTTTTTATTTACCACTGGTTCGGAAAATACCTCTGTCCTAGGAAGAACCAGCAAGAAACCCAGCCCCATTTCGCCTTATAATATTTTTTTTGTATAAATTTTAATAGAACTAGCATGGTGGGATCACCTCATTCCCAGTGTTATTTTAATTTATGTATTCTTTGATATTATAATAACCCTTTTTGTACAATTTTTCTTTACTAAAACATTTTAAATTGTTTTTGACAAATTTTGTACATTTTCTGGGATTTTGTTGTAAAAGCGTATACATTGCCCCATAAATAAATTACTAATTCTGTGGCGTCTAATAACTGGTAATACAAGCTTATCTTTGTTCCTAGTGTTTAAATTATGAACATATTTATGCTTATCAAAGCTATTTATGTTTTTATGTACATACATTACATTTTCATAAATATATTGCGAAGCCAAAGTTATATATGTTTGAATTTTTTTAAATTTTTCTCTAAGGGACTCTTTACAATTTAGGTTAAAAATCGCCCGTATGGCTAGGGTTACCATATCTCAGGATTTGTCCTGAGATTTCAGGATTTTTAGACTCTTCTCGGGATTGCGGCTGGATTTTACAAATCTCATGAAATCTCAGGATTTTTAGAACTTTCAATATAATACAGCTTACATTTTAAAGATCTCTTTAATAAAAAGTTAAACAAACTAAAAATAATTTTCCTTTGGTAATAATTCCACAATTAAAATCAAAACTTATTTATCCAAGTACGTACTTAAACAGTTTTATCATACTTAATATGTGAAGATACCTTTTTAAGTAAGGTTTTCTTCTCAAACTGTAAAAAAATCTCAGGATTTTTAAATGGAAATCAGGCCTCTTCTCCGGAGTTTTAATTTTTTCATCTGGTAACCCTACGTACGGCTCTCTTTTGCATGACGAATATGGCTTCAATATCATAATCGCCAATTGCCATCAACATGCTGAACCGTGGAAACGGAGTACCTTCCATCTTACCTTAAGAAATTGAGAAGAGAAGAGAGATAGCGGAGTGTTACTGTTAAGATGAAGAATCTAGAAGTATAAACAACTTATTATAACAACTAATTCTATAAGAACATCAATTACACATCTGTTTAAACAGATGTAGATTGTATTTCCTAACGCATAATAAGGTTTCTGTATTTGTGAGTGCGTGTGTAACAGCTTTTTACTTGGAACTAAATAATGATTAAAACTAGTGATCTGCCCCGGCTCCGCACGGATTTATGAATCGCGACAACAACGCCACCTACCAGGACCAATTGTGAATTTGTGAATCTAAACCATTCT